ATATACACTCACCATACAATGTTTATGGACACGTGGATTGTTTCCACCTTTTGGCTATTGTGAATAGTGCTGCTGTGAACATTGGTGTATGAGTGTCTGTCTGAATCTCTGCTTTCACTTCTGTGGGTGTAAACCTAGGAGTGGAATAGCTGGATCATATGGTAATTCTATGTTTAACATTTTGAGAAACCACCAGTCTTTTCCACAGAGGCTGCACCATTTTACACTCTCACTGGCAGTGCATGAGCGTTCCAGTTTCTCTACATCCTCACCAACACTTGTCATGTTCTCTTTTTTGATAACAGCCATCCTAATGGGTGTGAAGTGGTATCTCATTGTAATTTTGATTTGCGTTTCCCTTATGACTAGTGATGTTGAGTGTCTTTTCATGAACTTATTGGCCATTTGTATATCTTTTCACAGGTTTCTTTTTTAAAGGAGAAAAAATAAGTGTTTGAGCGTGTATAGGAGTATTGTTCATCATCTCCCCATTCCTTACCCCAATGTGGAGGAAGAAAATTAACTGGGGGAAAATAGGTGAATAAATATAGTGTGCAGTTTCGTACAGGTGTATAGTCTATATGTGATCTTGTTTTCTCTGTGCATATTTCTCTCTCTTTTGTATGTGTGTCTTGACTAATAGATAACTTCTCCTGGCACTCCTGTGTTGCTGGACTTGAATGTTTGAGAGAGGCCTGGGGTTGAAAGTAAATGAGGGCTTTCCAGTTCATCCTTACACAGATATTTTCAAAATTAAGATACACTTATATTGATTCAGTTACAAGTCCGAGGTGTACCTCTTCCCTTGTGTTTTCTTTCCTTTGTGTTTCAGTTTTAGGAGGCTGAAAGCCTTTATGGTCTAGACATCTGTGGTACTTACAAAGAATGCTGCTGTAATTTTCTGTGCTTCTACAAAGTAGCCAGTTCCTATTTAGTTTTTTTGTCTTCTCTCTGACAACTCTCCTGTTGTACAGTAGAGTAAGCTGATGCAACGTCTCTATTTTAACAAAGAGGACAACACAGTAAGTAATATACATGAGGAATTAGCGGGTAAAGCTTTAAAATGACTTCTCATTTGGGGGGATCTGACAGTTTAGTTATGTTAACTGAAGTGTTCAGTGCACTGTTGATGAAATTTTAAGCGTATTCTCATTTTTCTGTTATGTCTCAGGTGTTTGCTGACTAGCACTTCGGAGAGAGCATGCTTATCTGGCATGTCCGTAACAGAACGAACTGTGTGTTCCCTCTCTGATGTACTGGGTAGCAGTTTCCCCATTTGGACAGTTCAGAACAGTAAGCTTTGTCATAGATTAATATCCATAGCTACATAGTGATTTTAAATCCAGAATAAACCTAGGGTAGGGGAAAAAAGAAAAGGCTGTCTCATGAAAAAAGTGAAACTTTCTCAGTGTGTCTTACAGGTTTTTAGGAATTGTCTGTTCTTACTGCCTTTTTTTCATGTAACACTAGAGCAAGGAAAAAGTTTTTTTAAATGTATTTGTTTTGTTTGCTTACAAAAATCTATACTCCAAATAGCATAATTGGAATTAAAGGGAAATACTTGGAAACTTCAGTTTATTTCTTTATTCTTCCAGATTTACCTGCCTTTGAAAGTTCAAAACAGTTTGTTTTATTATTTTTATCTTTGTGTTTTAATTATTCATGCTACCCCTTTTCATAAGGACTCCATACTACTCAGAACCATTCTCTGAGATTATGAAGATTGCTCGCATCTCTTGATGTGTTAGAACCAGAAATGAAAAAGCAAATTCCTTTATCAAATGAGAGTTAGAAAGTTTATCTAGCAAATCAGCTTGTACAAGTTTCCTATTTATTTGAATTTTAGCAAGCCATTGTTTTCAAAAGGCAGGGTTAGGACCAAAAGAAGATGTTTTTTGATTGACCATATTCTCATTAAAAAATTTAGCTGATCCCCAAATGATGAACATTCAAAAGGAAGGCACTGCCTTTGGATGTGTTGTAGTCATGCTTTCTCAATGCTGTGTTTTGGGGGTTTTTGTGGTATTTGTGCTCACTCTTGCTCTGTCTTAAATATTTTGAAAGTAAGTGGCAGACATCATGACACCTCACCCCTGAATACTTCAGCATGTGTCCCCTAAGAATGAGGATATTAAAACCATGATACTGTATCACACTCCAGAAAGCTAACAGTAAGCAATAATAATAATCTAATGTATCGCCTGTTTTTCTAAATGTTTCTAGTTCTCCCAGAAATGTACTTTCATAACTTTTTGTCTTCCTCAACCAGGGTCCAGCCAAGGATCACACATCACATTTGATTGTTGTGTCTATTTGGTCTCCTTTAAACTGGAACAGGCCCCAGTCTTTATTTTTTCTGTCTTTCATAACTTTAAGATTTTGAGGAGTCTAAGCCAGTTGTCTTGTAGAACGTTCCACAACCTAATTTTGTCTTTTCTTCCTGATTAGTTTCAGGTTAAACCTTTTTGGTAGGTCTAGCACATGTATGTTCCCATCACAGGACATCAGGATGCACAGTGGTATCAGTCTGTTATTATTAGTAATGCAGAGTTTGGTTATGATGCAGATCACTGTGTTCAGGGGTATCTGTCAGATCACTTCATTGGAAAGCTCTTTTTCCTTTTTTAGTAATAAGTAATGTACAGGTTCATGCTTTGAGACCGTGTGACTCTTCTGTTCCCTAATAACCTTTCACCTGATGGTTTTAATTTGCTCATTGATTTAATCCACGATTTCCCCAGGGGTCTGCTGGTGGATGTCAGTGTGTCTGTGAAGCCCTGGGAAATTTTCCTGTATGTATGTATTTTTCCAGGGATATGGTCCATGGTCCCCAAATATATAAGAGATTCCCCCCCCCCCCCGCCGTTTTTGAGGTACTTTCTACAAGTTTCTATGCATCAAAGAAGTGTAAGTTGTACGGTACTAGAGGCTGTGAACCAAACCTGTTTATCTAATTTTCCTGATTATCTAGCTCAGCATCATGTACAACTAGGTACTTAATTTTTGTTGTTTGTTTGAGGATGCTTTGTTCTGGCCTTTCTCTTATCCTGAGCCAAGCATTTGGGTCTTTGCGTTTGGTGTAAACTGTACTAGAAAATAAAGCAAAGAGGCTTAGGCTTAGCCCCTGGCTTTTGGTGTTCTTTTTGAAGATTTTTAGGCAAAATTTGATTTGTGTCTTTGCTGACACTGAAGTAAATTTAGGTCAGTTGGAAATGAGTTAAAGCACTGCAAGACATGTTTTAGTTGTCTAATTATCAGTTGTGTCAGTAAGACATTTTTCACAAGTGTAGACAGGAGGGTCTCGCAGGTGACTTTAGGGAGGTTTACGTCCATTATTAGCCTAATATGGAATAGCTGTAGAAGTGATTGATTCTTGACCTTCCGTGCACAACCGGGAGCGCAGTATGGAATTAATCACGGCAGCAGCCAGTGAGGTGTGCTCTGTTTCATCTGTTGATTGGCCTGTTGTAACATTGGTTTGCGTGGCATGAAAACATGTCTATCAGTTGAGTGACCAATAATAACAATAAGAGCTAACAGTGGAATAGGATACTTTTAAAATATACATTATGCCATTTAATCCAGAAGATTGCTCCATGAAAGTAGATATTATTTTTATTCTAATTACCTGGGTATGGAAAAAAGGCTTAGACGAGTTAAAGTAGCTGACATCAAACAGCTTGTGAGGAGCTTCTCGTTCCTTGTGCTTTCTGTTTCACCAGTCTAGAAGGGAGAGGCATTCCAGGGAATCTAAATATGAACAAAGCATGACCCTTGCTCCCAAGGATCTTTTAAATCCAACAAGTGTGTCTTATAAATATGCTACAGACAACAAGTCAAGGGAAGAGCCACGGAAGTGCAGAAAAGGGCAAACAACCTCCAAATTTAAGGTCAAGCTTGGTATGATGGAGGTAGCATTTGAGGGGGGAGGGTTGTTTGGAGAAGAAGAAAAAGAATGACCAAAGGCATGGACATGGGAAAACATAGGACTTGTTTTGGAGAGGAATTGGTCTAGTTTGGCTACAGCGTGAGCTGCATGAGAGAAAGAAGCTAGACCTGAAAGAGGTGAGGATCAGATCGTGAAGGGCCTTGAATGCCATGCTAGAGAAGAACCTCATTCTGTAGGGATTTTGAGCAGGAAATGAAAAATGTGGCCATATAGAAGACCCGATAATAATCGTGATAAACGCTTATATATACTTTTTTTTGCTGAGGAAGCCCTGAAGCTAACATCTGTTGCCACTCTTCCTCTGTTTTGTGTGTGGGTCGCTGCCACAGTGTGGCCACTGGCAAGTGGTGTAGATCTACACCCGGGAACCAAACCTGGGCTGCTGAAGCAGAGCGCACTGAACTTAATCACTAGGTCACAGGGCTGGCCCCTAAATGCTTATATTTTTGAGTTATGACTCTGTGCTAATCTCTTAACATACATTATCTTATTAATGCCTAACAGTAACTCTTTGAACAGTGTACTATGTCCATTTTACAGATGTGAAACTGAGGCTCAGTGAGATTAAGTTTGCAAATGTCAAAGAGATATTGCTGGAGCTAGGACTCAGACTAGGGTCTGTCAGCTTCCAAAGCTGGTTCTCTTTACCACTATGATATATCGTCATTTCTTCTGTCAGATCACCTGGTAAGTTCTTAATTCACTGTCAAGAATATGGCTACAGGAAAAGGACGTTTTCAAAGCTCTGAAAGGACTACTTCTCAGTGTGTAATCATGTTAAAGAATATAATCACTACCAAACCTGACTTGTACTGCTCTCTAATTTGGGACCAGAGCTGGATGGGAAATTGAAGAGTTGGATGATGTTTTATTTACATGCCTCATGGCATCAATACATGCCCATAGAAACTGTTTTTGTTTTCAATTTTAGTATCTAACCTTATTGGCTCTAAGTAAATATTAGGTCAGGTAAAGCTCAGTTCCTAGGGGAATTTTAAGTTGCGTAAGGAAGTGATATTTTTCCTAGCTAAAATATGTTTCTTCTCAGCAGGTTTTCTACTTATAAAAGACAATGACTACTGATGAAGGTGCCAAGAACAATGGAGAAAGCCCAGCAGCAGCTGTTGCTGAACGGGGAGAGGATATTACCTCCAAAAAAGATAGAGGAGTATTAAAGGTGAGGCCACAAGGATGAATGACATGTAGGGAAATTTGCTATCTAGAAAGATTGTTTATAAAAACCTTTTGGTTTGGCTGGAGGTGGAGATGGATTATATTTACTTAGGCTTATAAGTGCCAAACACCCACAGCTAAATTCTCATTTCATCTTCATAACTTGAGGTTTATTTTAATCCCAGGTTATAGATGGTGATACTGAGGCACAGCTAGGTAAATAACTTACCTGATACCTTACATCTTAGTACATGCACATCTGGGGTCAGGTCCAAGTTATTGCTCGCATCTCTTGACGTGTTAGAACCAGAAATGAAATTGCAAAGGCTGTCTCCCCATTCTCAGACTGTACAAGTGGGTTATTATTTTAATATAATATTTATGTATATTAAAGCTGGCTAATGATAATTCAAAACACTTTTTAAGGAAAAAGGGAAGCTAACTTGCAAAATTCAAGAAGATTTGTTTTTATGTGAAAATAGTGTTCCTGGAGCTGGCCCTGTGCTGAGTGTTTAGGTTCACACGCTCCACTTCAGCAGCCCAGGGTTTTGCCGGGTTTGGGTCCTAGGTGCCGACATGGCACCGCTCATCAGGCCATACTGAGGCAGCGTCCCACGTGCCACAACTAGAAGGACCCACAACTAAAGTATGCAACTATTTACTGGGGCGTTTTGGGAGAAGGAGGAGGAAAAAAAAAAAGATTGGCAACAGATGTTAGCTCAGGTGCCAATCTTTAAAAAAAAACAACAAAGAATATAGTGTTCCTGTGTGCAGTGAAGATATTTTTTGAGGTTTCGTTAGAGAATATATCTTAGTTTTGAATTAGTCTTCCTCCTTGTTAAAACACTTTATATTTTTTTCACTCTGCAGTTAATCATTTTTTCGTGGTGTTTTATTTCTATCTAGCAATGGTCTTATGAGACAATCAGTACCTCTTGATTCTTCCATTTTACAGGTGAATAAACTACCATAAAAACAGACACACAGACCAATGGAACAGAGAACTTGTAGAATATCATGTGATTTCTTGAGATTAATTTTTTGAAACTTTTTTCCCCTTTGAAGTCCTAGAAGGGCAGTAATGATTTCTTGTTTTGAAGTAGCTCTTAGTTTAATTTTTTTATTATAATACTTTTTTCCCAGCTTTATTGAGATATAATGGACATATAACATTATGTAAGTGCACAATGTGATGATTTAATACACTTACATGTTTTTGTTTTTTGGGGAAAATTAGCCCTGAGCTAACATCTGCCACCATCCTCCTCTTTTTTTCCTGGGGAAGACCGGCCTTGAATGAACATCCATGGCCATCTTTCTCTACTTTATATGTGGGATGCCTGCCACAGCATGGCTTGACAAGTGGTGCCTAGGTCTGCACCTGGGATCCAAGCCTGCAAACCCTGGGCCACCGAAGTGGAATGTGCGAACTTAACTGCTGCACCACCGAGCCGGCCCCACACTTACATGTTTTGAAATGATTACCACAGTAGGGTTAGTTAACACTTCCATCACCTCACATAATTACTATTTGTTTTTCTGTGATGAGAACATTTAAGATCTACTCTCTTAGAAACTTTCAAGTATATGATACGATGTCGTTAACTGTAGTCACCCTGCTGTACATTAGCTCTCCAGAATTTGTTCATCTTATAACTGGAAGTTTGTACCCTTTGACCGATATTTCCTTATTTCCTCCACCCCCTAGTTCCTGGCAATCACCATTCTACTCTGTTTCTGTGAGTTGAGCTTTTTTAGATTTCACAGGTAAATGATATTGTACAATATCTTTCTTTCTTTCTCTGGCTTATTTCACTTAGGATAATGCCCTCAGGGTCCATCCATGTTGTCACAAATGGCACAATTTCCTTCTTTCTCATGGCTGAAAAATATTCTACTGTGTGTGTGTGTGTGTGTGTGTACACGCATACATACACCATGTCTTCTTTCTCCATTCATCTATAGATGGACACTTGGGTTGCTTCCATAGCTTGGCTGGTTGTGAATAATGCTACATTGAACATGGGAGTACAGCTGTCTCATTGAGAGAGTGATTTTGTTTCCTTTGGATTTATACCCAGAAGTGGGATTGCTGGATCATATGATAGTTCTTTTTTAATTTTTTTAGGAACCTTCATACTGTTTTCCGTGGTGGCTGCCCCAGTTTACATTCCCTCTAACAGTACATAAGGGTTCCCTTTTCTCCACATCCTCACCAACACTCATTATCTCTTGTCTTTTTGATAATAGCCATTCTAACAGGTGTGAGATGATATCTTGTTGTGGTTTTCAAAGATTTTATTTTATTTTTTTTTCCTTTTTCTTCCCAAAGCCCCCTGGTACATAGTTGTGTATTTTTAGTTGTGGGTCCTTCTAGTTGTGGTGTGTGGGACGCCACCTCAGCATGGTTTGATGAGCAGTGCCATGTCTGCGCCCAGGATTCAAACCGGCGAAACCCTGGACCACCAAAGCAGAGCATGTAAACTTAACCACTTGGCCACGGGGCCAGCCCCTCGTTGTGGTTTTGATTGTATTTCCATGATGATTAGGGATGGTGAGCATCTTTTCATGTACCTGTTGGCCGTTTGTGCGTCTTCTTTTAAAAATGTCTATTCATTTCCTCTGCCCATTTTTTAATCAGATTGTTTGGTTTTTTGATATTGAATTGTATGAGTTCCTTGTATGTTTTGAATATTAACTCCTTATCAGATTTATAATTTGCAAATATTTTCTCTCATTTCACAGATTGCCTTTTCATTTTGTTGATTGTTTCTTTTACTGTGCAGAAGCTTTTCAGTTTGATGTAGTCTCATGTTTATTTTTTATTTCGTTGTTTGTGCTTTTGGTCTTATATACAAAAAACTTGTTGCCAAGACTAACATCTGGAGCTTTTTCCCTATGTTTTCTTCTAGGAGTTTTGTAGTTTTAGGTCTTAGGTTTAAGTCTGTAATCCATTTTGAGTTAATTTTTGTGAGTGGTGTAAGATAGGGGTCTGATTTCATTCTTCTGCGTGTGATTATCCAGTTTTCCCAGCACTACTTATTGAAGAGACTGTTCTTTCCTCATTGAGTGTTCTTGGCTCCCTTGTCAAATAGTAGATGACTGTATATGGTATGGTTTATTTCTGGGCCTTTGATTCTGTTCCATTGGTCTGTGTGCCTGTTTTTATGGCAGTAGCATCCCGTTTTGATTACTATAGCTTTGTGACATAGTTTGAAAACAGGAAGTGTGATGCCTCCGTCTTTGTCCTTTCTTGGAATTGCTTTGGCTATTTTGGGTCTTTCATGATTCCATATGAATTTTAGGATTGCTTTTTCTGTTTCTGTGAAAAATGCTATTGGAATTTTGATAGGGAGTGCATTGAGTCTATAGATGTCTTTTGGTAGTATTAACATTTTAGTGTAATTTTTCTGATCCATGAACACGGTATCTTCCATTTATTTGTGTTTTCTTCAGTTTTTCTCATCAAAATCTTATAGTTTTCAGTGTACAGATCTACTTCGTTGGTTAAATTTGTTCTTAACTATTTTATTGTTTTTGATGCTGTTGTGAATGGGATTGTTTTCTTTTTCTATTCTTTTTTTTATTGAGTTATAATTGACATATAACATTATGTTAGTTTCAGGTGTAACACATAATGATTCGATATTTGTGTATATTGTGAAATGATCACTACTATAAGTCTAGTTACAACCTGTCACTATACATAGGTACAAAATTTTTTCTTGTGATGAGAACCTTTTAGATCTGCTCTCCTAGCAACTTTCAAATATGCAGTACAGTATTAGTAACTGTAGTCACCATGCTGTACATTACATCCGTATGACTTATTTATTTTATAACTGGAAGTTTGTACCTTTTGCCTCCCTTTACCCATTTTACCCTCCCCACCCCAGCCTCTGGCAACCACCAGTCTGTTCTCTATATCTGTGAGCTTGGTTTTTGGGTATGTTCTTTTGCTTTTTGTTTTTTGTTTTTAGATTCCACATACAAGTCAGATCATGTGGTGTTTGTCTTTCTCTGTCTGAGTTATTTTACTTGGCAAATTGCCCTCATACTCCTTCCATTTATCGCAAATGACAAGATGATATCCTTTTTTATAGCTGAATAATATTCCATTATACACACAAACACACACGCATGCACACCACATTTTCTTTATCCTTTCATCTATCAGTGGACACTTAGGTTGTTTCCATATCTTGGCTGTTGTAAATAATGCTGCAGTGAACATGGGGGTGCATATATCTTTTTGAGTTACTGTTTCTGTTTCCTTTGGATAAATATCCAACAGTAGAATTGCTGGATCATATGGTAGTTCTGTTGTTAATTTTTTGAGGAACCTCTGTTCTGTTTTCCATAATGGCTGCACCAGTTTACATGCCCACCAACAGTGCACAAGAGTTCCCTTTTCTCCACAGCCTCATCAACAGTTGTTATCTTGTTTTTTCGATAATAGCCATTCTAACAGGTGTGAGGTGATATCTCATTTTGGTTTTGATTTGCATTTCTGGGATTATTTTCTTTATTTGTTTTTCAGATATTTTGTTGTTAGTCTATAGAAATGCAACTAATTTCAGTATGTTGATTTTGTATCGTGCATCTTTACTAACTTCATTAATTAGAGCTAACAGTTTTTTGATGAAGTTGCAGTAATGATTCTTTTTCTTTAAAGCATGTCTGGGCTTTTGAGCTGAGAAAGTTATAGAATCTAAGTTCATCTAAGCGTTTATGTGGTGATATGTGGGTAGGACAGGAGGACACATCTCAAAGAAGAATTTAGGAGTAAATAATTGAATTCTGTGGATAAAAATTCAGACCCTTTCCCAGAAAAGATGTCCATTGGCCATTAGCTACTACTATCCTCTTTTACATACTAAAAATGATTAGTTTGGTGTAGATGATTGACAGAATAATTTATATCACCACATGCCTGGATTTGATTTTCTTTTCCCAGAACTGACCAACTGCATTAGTGGCTTGCTCTGCCAAGAACAAAATAAATATACTGTATTTTATGACAGCTAGATATTTTTCAGCTTGGAGCTTTTTTGGCCTTTCCTTTACTAGAAAACAAGTTATTCGGCATCATATCAAACTGTGCAGTGATACTGTTTTTTCACACATTGAATATTCTTCAAATAATAGGAAATGTAACCTGTTATACCAAGAACTTGGGCTTTTTGAAATTAAACCAAACTAGTGAAACCTAATCAGAAGCTAATCTTTTTAGCAAAGGAGGGAAGCAAATAAAATCTCACCTTTGAAACTTTGCTTTGGACATCTTTTTGAATGTTTTTGAAAGTCCATTAGTCTTTTTGGTCTAATTCAGTTTGTACATGGACTAGCTCTGTGTTTTGAGAGATGTTAAAGTGTGGGGCATTAATCCAATGTAACAGGATCTCTTGGTTAATTATTTTGAGGGAAAAGTGTGATCAACAATAAAATTAGATACAGCACTAAAATTTAGAGCAATATAAGACAGTTTTCTATCAGTGAGAGTTACTGAGAGAAATTAGAGGGAAGCCTATAGAAAAGACAGATAAGTATTTGCAAATCTGTCTGGGTGATGTGAAATGGACTTGTGTGACCTTTCTATTCTCTGATTAGAAGGAAAAAGTTCCACCTCCTTTTTCTTGATATTTATCTTTTCTAGATTGTCAAAAGAGTGGGAAATAGCGAGGAAACACCAATGATTGGAGACAAAGTTTATGTCCATTATAAAGGAAAATTGTCAAATGGAAAAAAGTTTGATTCCAGTCATGATAGAAATGAACCATTTGTCTTCAGCCTTGGCAAAGGTAAGAGGGTGTTTTTTTAGTTGCATTTTACTTAGATTTATTGCTATTTGTATTATCTAACAGTTAGTGGATCCTATCCTTCCCAAAAGTAAAGGTGTTTTAGAGCAGTGGTTCTCAAAGTGTGGTCCATGGATCCCTGGCGGTCCCTGAGATTCTTTTAGGGGGTCCATAATGTCAAAATTATTTTCATAATAATACTAAGATGTTATTTATCTTTTTCCCCTTGTTTACATTTGCACAGATGGGACAAAAGCTGGAGTGGTGCAAACTGTTGGTACCTTAGCACGAATCTAGGCAGTGACACCAAACTATACCATTAGCCATGTATGCTTCACTGCCCTCGTTCATTGTTTAAATGGGGTAAAAACAAAAAGGAAAGCCAGTTTCATTTAAGAATGTCCTTGATAAACTGTAGAAATTGATTTAATTAAATCCTCATCCTTGAGTTTCACATTGTTGTGATATTTTTGTGACAGAAAGGGGAGCACACATTAAGCACTTCTGTATACCCAAGGTCAGTGGTTATCTCAAGGAAAAGCACTTAATGCACTTGTTTTAGTTGAGAGCTGAACTAGCTTTGTTTTTTTCATGAAAGACCATTTTAACTTGAAAGGGCATACTATGATTATTCAGTATTTGGCAGATATTTTCTTGAAAATGAATGAAGTGAGCCTGCCACTTCAAGGAAAACAACTGACGATATTTGTTGCCATTGAATTTTCAAGTGAAAATTACCGTTTTGAGAAATTTGTATCTGCCACTGTGAGTGTGACAGCTTCTCCAAACTTAAAAGACTTCTGATGAGATCAGTGGGTATTAATGAATGTGATTTTTAAAATATTATGCAATGAAATGTGTTAACCTTTGAAAGAGCTGTACAAGTTAGTGAATCAATATTTTCTCAATGACCAATGCGTGATGTTACAAAATCCTGCATAAGGAGAAGATCCATTCACTGTGCAGGGTAGCCCAGTGGATTTTAATGTAATACAGTATGAGAAGTTCATTGAAATACTTTGAGATTCCATATTGCAACTAATCTTTATGAAACTACCACTTGTCCAGTTTTGATGTACTATCAGATGATTATATTCACGACTATCTGGAAAGGCTATTAAAGTACTCTGGCCTTTTTCAACAATCTATCCTTGTGGGTTTGGGTTTTTTCCATGTGCTTTAACCAAAATTGCAATAGATGAATCAAAGGTAAGTATGAGAATCTAGTTGTCTTTTATTAAGTCAGACCCATTGTACGTTTGTAAAATTAATAAAACAGTGCCACTCTTCTCACTAGTTTTTTTTTGCTTTGGAAAATATAGTTATTTTTCATAAGAAAAATTATGTTAACATATGAGGTTATTATTATTTTTAAATGAATTGGTAAATAATCTTTTTATTTTTAATATAGTAAATATCAGTAGATATGTCATATAAACAAAAGCTCCTTGGGGTCCTCAATTTCTAAGATGTAGAGGGATCCTGAGGAAAAAACGTTGAGAACCACTGTTTTCAAGTCTTAAATGTGATTTTTACTAATTTCTTTTCAAATGTTTTTAAATGTCTTCAGTTAGTTTAGTATTCTTACTTTTTAAAAATAGCCCATATATCAAATTGTACTTTGTGGCCCATGTGACTTATTGGAAGTTAATGGCTGCATTACAATGTCTTTTTATTCTTATCTGCCACAGATATAACAGACTTCTAGTTTGTCCCCAGATTAAGTGTAGGAGAAGAGGGGTAACCCCACCTCCACCACCACGCTCAGTGTTGATTTTAACTCCTTTCTGTTTGACTCTGCACCTTGGTTGAGTTGTTAGCTCAGCATGGATCTGGGAGAGGAAACAGCAAATGGGGAACTGAGGAGTTAGACTCCTCCTGCCTCTCTGCCCTCTGCCTTCCCTGGTACGCATAGGCGTTTATGCGTCCTGGTGACTCTGCTTCCTGTCCAGCTGTGCTCTCTTCCAGCTCAGGTGCTGGCTGTGCCACTGCTCCCTTCCCCTTTGGGTCCTTAGTGAGTTAATGGCTCATGTGAGACTAATCTTGTGTTTCAATAAGGTAGCAATCAAAATCAGATACAGATTCTTTTTCTTGATGTAGCAGATAACGATGGCAGTTAGGGTGGAACTTGTTTTCATTTTTCTTGATTTAGGGACGTGAACCTCCAGGGCCACCAGCATGGCTGTGGCATCGTTCGTTCATTTAGATGACCTCAAAGTAAATAGCCTCATCAGACCTCTTTGCTCCCACTGCCCCCCAAACTCTTACCCTTTGAATTTCTGTCTTGAAGTAGATTTAAGATAACAGGTCTTCTCCCAACAGTTATCTTTGCAAATAGACAAGAATTGCTGAGAATTTATACTGCCACCTTCTCTACCTGGATTTCTCAGTAAAATAGTGAATGAGTCTTTCATGTTTCCTAGAATTTTGAGCAGAGAGAAAAGAGGCAATACTCAGTTGACTAGGTACAAATGACACACCTATCTAGAGACAGCGTGGTCTCATGGGAAGAGCATCTAGCTGGTGTTAGGAAGCCAGCGCTCCTGTCTTTGCCCTTCCCTGCAATGTGTTAACATGAGGAAGCTGCCTAAGCTTCCCTGCTCCTATAAAAAGGAGGTGTCTGCAGAAGAGCTTGAAGATTAATCCTCATCTATGAGTCATTCTTTTACCTACTGTGAAGAGTACAGGAGCAAAAACCATGGAAGACTAAAACCAACACAATGACAGAGCCTGTAGAGGCCCTCCTAAGATGATAATTAGAAGTATGAGGCTAGGGCAGCATATATACTTCTGATAAAACTGCTATAACATAGTGTGTTCAGTTGCCTATGACACAAGAAACAGTGGTTAGGAGTTTATAGTTTTACACTTATGTGTTTATAGCAGTTGCTACTTCATTAAAATGAAGAAAAATAATATAAATAGACTGTAGTATAAATATTGTACATTGAACTCTCTTGATTCCTTATATTGTACCTCTCCCAAGGGAATAAATAGAAATATTTCAGTAGAAAGTTATGCTAATTTTGGGATTCTTTTGTGACTTCAGTGATTAAAATAGAATTGTGAGAGCTTATCTGTAAAAATTGCATTAAAAATACACTTACTAGGGCCAGCCCAGTGACGTAGTGATTAAGTCTGCGTGCTCTGCTTCTCTGGCCGGGGTTCGCTGGTTTAGATCCTGAGCATGGACCTACACACTGCTCATCAAGCTGTGCTGAGGCGGCGTCCCACATGGAAGAACTAGAAGGACCTACAACTAGGATATACAACTGTGTACTGAGGCTTTGGGGAGAAAAAAAAAAGAGGAAGATTGGCAACAGATTTGATATTTGCTATTTGTATACATTGTGAAACGATCACCACAATAAGTCTAGTTAACATGTATCACCATATATAGTTAATGGAATTTTTTTTCTTGTGATGAGAACTTTTAAGATCTACTCTCAATTTGAATGTTCAATACAGCAATACAGTACTAACTATAGTAGCCATGCTGTACGTTATATTCCCATGACTCATTTATAACTGGATGTTTGTACCTTTTGTCTCCCTTCACTCATTTTGCCCACCCTCTGCCCCCCACCTCTTGCACCCATCAGTCTGTTCTCTGTATCTGTGAGCTTGTGTTTTTTTTGTTTTCCCGATGCCACGTATAAGATCATACGGTATTTGTTTTTCTCATCTAGCTTGTTTCACGTAGCACAATGCCCTCAAGGTCCATCCACGTTGTCACAAATGACAAGATTTCATTCTTGTTTTATGGCTGAACAATATTCCATTGTGTATATATATATGCGCCGTATTATCTTTCTCCATTCATCTGTCATTGGACACTTAGGTTGCTTCCATATCTTGGATGTTGTAAATAATGCTGCAGTGAACACAGGGTGCAGATATCTTTTCGAGTGAGGGTTTTCATTTTCTTTGGATAAATACCAGAAGTGGAATTGCTGGATCATATGGTAGTTCTATTTTTAATTTTTTGAGGAACCTTCATGCTGTTTTCCATGGAGGCTGTCCCAGTTTACATTCCCATTAACAGTGCATAAGGGTTCCCTTTTCTCCACATCCTCACCAATACTTGTTATTTCTTGTCTTTTTGATAATAGCCATTCTAACAAGTGTGAGGTGATAGCTCATTGTGGTTTTGATTTTCATTTCCCTGATGCTTAGTAGTATTGAGCATCTTTTCATGTACCTGTTGGCCATTTGTGTGTCTACTTCTGTACCATCTTTTAACCTCTGTGCCTTACTTCCCTCCACTGCAAAGTGATGATAATACTATATACTACTATATATTGACAATTAAATGATTACACACCATTGCTTACCACTCAGCCTAACATATAGAAGCACTCAAATATTTATTACTGTTGTTACTGTACTAGGATTATTGGCTGGTTTCGTAATGGAATGGCAAGAACTGTGTTATAGCAATTTGGGTCCTAACTCCCGTATTTACTGTGCCTGCATACAAACCTTTTGAAACAATGCTTAACCGCCCTTTTTTAGCCCCAGGAAGTCTGGAAAGACAAAAACTGAATCAACGTAGGACATCTGATTGTTACCACTACAGAATGTTACAGAAATTAGAATGAAGAGATGATGGTTTCTTTCATTGGGTTTTCTTAACTAAATCTTTATTACATGTTCTGAATTCCTAGAATTGTGTCCATAACCCATTTTGTAAGAAGTTGAAATAAGAATGACTCAGGACTTTTGAATATACTTCCACAATGGGAGTTCTGTTCTTTTCCCCTCCCTCCCTCCAGCAAATAGATTATCACTAAAATTGGGAAGGGATAGATTAGGGGAATGAAAGAATCATTTCTACCTCTGTTCTTAGAAGTAAATCCAAGAGCACTAGGTCTTCACCCCCTTCCCACCTACCCCTATAAAGGTCTGGTGATTTCTCATAGAAGGCTGTGTCGATAAAGTTGGTTTTGGTGCTCTTGGTATGTGACTAACATGGCTGGGAATTATGAAGCTAAAACTCCTAC